CAGACTTCATACGTTTTTGAAAGTGCAGCAGTTCTTCTCTGCTGCTCCATAACTTTTACGTTCTTACTGTAGTCTGAATTTTTTTAAACAAAATTTGTAAAGAATTTTGTATTCTACAATATTGATAATAAATACAAATAGCAAAAAACCCATAGGAAATGAGATATTTACAAAAAAAGCGCAAAAAACCGATTTTTGTGACCTTTGACCTTGAAATTTAATAGTTGCGTACAGCCTACCATATGTAGGTTTTGAGACAACTTTTAGGGTGTCAATATACAAGTATTTACAGACTTACAGCTGGGTATCTCGAATTCCAAGATTCTTACCTAATTTAAGCTTAAATAACTGGACTATAAGTAAATACCTGCGTAAATAAGGAATATTAGTGCTAGACAGACCACACAAGTTGTTTCTATGAATACATTGAAAAACATTGGTAAATTGTACGTTTATGTATTAATGCTTCTGCCAGAATTTTTAAGTGTGTTCTGTGATTCACTATTTATTGGAGCTTCGATGAATTAAGTTTATCTCCTTTGTTAGGTGGTACAGATCTTTTCTACTAATTTTTCTTCAATTTGAGTAATCTTTTCTCTGACCTCTTGTTGTTAGCCTTCTGTTATCTTTTTCTTCTCCTGCTTTACCCTTTTCTTTTACGAATTCCAGGATACTTTCTGTTTTTATATCTTAGGTATTTTCGTCGTTATTGTAATAATAAACTCTTTCAATATTAAGAATCCAACCGCTGTTTTCACGAGTTCTATCAAACAACTTTATTTTTATTATACAATTTTCTTGTTAACTAAAACACTAACTTGAATGGTCAACTTAAGTATCTACCATCTCCTTATTAAGCTAGGTTCAGAAGGACGTAGCACTTTCGTTGGATTCATTCGAATTAATCAGATTCAGGAAAGAAATGAACTTAAATTTTATCTCAAATTTTATATTAAATCATATTATTACGAGTATATACTTGTGAAAATCGCTCTCAACCAATTTTGTTAATTTTTTGAAATAGTGTACTACAAGTTATTAGAAATTATGTTCAAGTTTAAATCAGTTTCTATATCTAGTTTCGGAAATATAAATTATCATAAAAATGTCAGTTTTTTTTAAAACATAAGTATTACCTTTTAGATGATTAAAAACAAAATAATACCATTTCTGGTTTAACAGAAGTCAGATGACATGTCAATCAGTGAGTCGTTAAGATAAAAGAGGCCGTATAATATACCGGGTGGTTTAAAATTAGCATATTTCGCCAAATTTTATCATTGGTCCCAATTACTTGAGCTGGGCATTTTTCATTAAAATATCTTTATTGAGATATAACAGGCGACTTGTGTCAACGACTGAGGCCATTTGCACCGCTAGTAGTTAAGAAATAAGCGAAGCTTAAAATGACATTATTAATGGAAAACTATTAGTTTAAGCTTGACTTATTTTTTAATGACTAGTAGTGCAAATGAACCTGACTGACATGTCAACTGACTTCCTTTAAACCAGCAATGCTATGATTCTATTACTAATCATCTACAACAAGTAAAACTTTTTGATAAGTAAACATTACTATGTTTAAAAAAAACAGCAATTTTTATGATTTTCAAAAATTCATATCTCTGAAACTAAACATGAAAACTGATTTAGCTTCTAGTAACATTTACTACAATATTCCAAAAAAAATTGTCAAACTTAACTGAGAGCCTTTTTCACATGTATTTGGTGCGGGGTTTTATTATCGTATATTTTATCTTCAATTTTATCTTAAATTTTATCTCAAATTTACCTTAAATTTTATCTTGAATTTTATCTTAAATTTACCTTAAATTTTATCTTAAATTTTATCTTAAATTTTTTCTTAAATTGTATCTTAAATTTTACCTTAAATTTTATCTTAAATTTTATCTTAAATTTTATCTTAAATTTTATCTTAAATTTTATCTTAAATTTTATCTTAAATTTTATCTTAAATTTTATCTTAAATTTTATCTTAAATTTTATCTTAAATTTTATCTTAAATTTTATCTTAAATTTTATCTTAAATTTTATCTTAAATTTTATCTTAAATTTTATCTTAAATTTTATCTTAAATTTTATCTTAAATTTTATCTTAAATTTTATCTTAAATTTTATCTTAAATTTTATCTTAAATTTTATCTTAAATTTTATCTTAAATTTTATCTTAAATTTTATCTTAAATTTTATCTTAAATTTTATCTTAAATTTTATCTTAAATTTTATCTTAAATTTTATCTTAAATTTTATCTTAAATTTTATCTTAAATTTTATCTTAAATTTTATCTTAAATTTTATCTTAAATTTTATCTTAAATTTTATCTTAAATTTTATCTTAAATTTTATCTTAAATTTTATCTTAAATTTTATCTTAAATTTTATCTTAAATTTTATCTTAAATTTTATCTTAAATTTTATCTTAAATTTTATCTTAAATTTTATCTTAAATTTTATATTAAATTTTATCTTAAATTTTATCTTAAATTTTATCTTAAATTTTATCTTAAATTTTATCTTAAATTTTATCTTAAATTTTATCTTAAATTTTATCTTAAATTTTATCTTAAATGTTATCTTAAATGTTATCTTAAATTTTATCTTAAATTTTATCTTAAATTTTATCTTAAATGTTATCTTAAATTTTATCTTAAATGTTATCTTAAATTTTATCTTAAATATTATCTTAAATTTTTTCTTAGATTAGGAAGATCCAAAAAAATACCTATCTATATATCAGAATGTGTTTTTTTGCTGACACTTTTGTTTAGTTAACAAACTTTATTTTGAATTATAGAGATGATAAAAGTAGTATCTGAAAATTTTTGAAGACTTTGTAAAAATCAAAAAAAAATAGCAAAAGTCCGAGGATTGAATCTTGACAGTTAAAGCTTTGTATGACTTATTATTTAATTTTACTCTTTGGGTTCGATTTTTTAAGTAGAATCCTATTAGATCAGCTGAGTTGTTGCGATATTACATATATTTGATATTATGATCAAATGATGATGCTGCTAACGTTATTTTATAGACAAATTTCCACAAACAAAATACCATCTTCTTAGGAACACCCGCTATCTCCTAAACCCCTCACAATCCGTAACCTTTCCAACCTGGTCCATCGAACACGACTTAATTTGAATTTCACCCGATTATTCTCATCCTTCGGAATAATATTCCTCGACACATTTCGAACTCAACCGACGCGGGGTGTGAAATCGACCGAAAATGAAATCGGTCGGACATCAATTTTCCAGACTATATAATTTTCGACGGGACTACGTCGATTTGAGCCAAAGTTTGGGCGGATTTGTGTGGCCCTCGTGTGGCTCTTTGGCTGTGTGGCTGTTCTATCTAAAGCGGCCCGCTGTTCTTAGCTCGATCGATAGCTCGGGAAATACTACTAAGTCTCGAGAATCGCCTGCCTTTTCTGGAAATCAGTGTCTGGGTCGGTTTCCAGAACAGCTGATTTTACTGGCAAGAATTCGTTCTAGGAATGTTGATGAGGAATATTTTCGATATTATCGAGAAAAAAAAAGTTTCTGCTTCAAAAATTATTATGTTTACTAGTACTAGTAGACATACCATTACTTGTGCCACTAAAGATGAATCTTCTGCAGAATAAATTTTGAAGACACACCTTTTTTAAAGGTTGAAAGTCGACTGCTGTTTGGAATCGCGGTTTCACTACATTTATTCGAGGATTTTGCCACAAACATTGGAGTGTTTAAAAAAAAATGCGTTTATTTCTGTCGTTTTATAGAAACTCCTTTAATTCTAATATCAAGAGTAGAAGAATCAATTAATAGACTGTCAGATAGTGACTGATTTAGGTGCCCCATTTTCGCATATAAGCCTCGAAGAGGATTGAAAAGTATATCAATGTTGAGTAGAATAAAAGGAAATTTACGAGTGGCCCCTGGGGATAACATATGGAAAATTCGATTTTCGTAAACAGTAATAAAAGTTGTTTTTTGCTCATATTTGCATGCAAGCCGTGTTCACTGAATGATTAATTAATAGATCTTGGATTCAGAAAACAAAAGGCTTGAGTGTTGTAAGTGGATAAAAGGTTGAAATAAGAGCGTAAACTTGTAAAGAAAAATCGATATTTTAACCGATTTTTCCACACAAGCCCAAACATATTGGTTTGAATTGCGCGAGTGAATAAGTGCATTTTGGAGTCGGAAAAATACAAGCCTTTGTAACCATATAATGTTATTAATGTGTCAGACCTAATAAAAAAATTGGCATCAGTATCGGATGTGGACGGAACGAAGGCTTGCTTCGGAAAATTGCAGGAAAATTGTATGAAAAATGTTACCATTTTCTCACGGTAGCCGTTTGTCATATGCTTAGAAAAAGTGACTCTAAGCCTATATAACAAAATGCTTGAGTGTCGGACATGGTCATCACATTAATTATACATAATTTATTTAACAAAAAGCTGACAAAAATCTAGAAATGTCCACCATTTTACCAAATATCTGTCAGAAAATGTAGGGTTATTATTTTAAATGAATAATTTAGCATACACTTCCTTCTCGTAGTATAATATCGTTTAATAATATGAAAATAATGGTTTTCATATAAAAAATTACAATTTTTTTTTAAAATATTGCTAAATAAATTTAGTTAATTTTAATAATAATTTTACAAATTAAATTATAAACACAGTGATTTTACAATTTCCATAACGAGCAGAATTTACATGTATAAACAACTTATTTATTATTGCCATCTTTGGCCTCACTTATTCTTCTTCTCCATCATCTGTATCGTCCCCACTTTCGTTGTTATTATCATATTCGACATTATTTGCATCATCATTATCCTCTGAATCTGCAAAATTGAAATAAAAATAATACAAAATTATTTACATATAATTGATGCAGACATAAAAAACTGATATTTTTACCTTCATTTTGGTTCGCATCTATTAGAATGTCACGGGTCATCAACGCATGCTGGTAGCTCATTACCTTCGATTCACAGGAAGGTACGACCCATCTTCCACTTTCCAACTATACTTGCATCTAAAGTGGACGGTATGGGTGCAACGGAATTCATCCACCACAAATGGCCGATATAGGACGATCTCAAAATCTGCTGTAGTTGAGATCGTCCTATGTTGAGGTTTAAGTGCTTTCAAACGATTAGCGCAACTGGAGTGATATCCAATTGTATCACCCACTTTTGAAGGAAGTTCACATTCTCCGTAATTTAATTTGTAGAACTTTCGGCATTTCATAATTTTCTTAAATTTTAATAAACATTCACGATCAAATAATATAATTTTCTCATAAGTGGATTGTTTGCAAATAAAACAGCTCCTGAATTTTCATCCATGCTGCTCCTTAATAGCTGTAAATTATCTATAAATTAACAGTATTGTTGGAATTAGCCATATAAAAAAAATAAAACTAAAAACCTACATATCAAAACCTAAATATCACCCTAATTCGTCTAAATATCAATTCTCAAAATTATTTTATATCAATTTTATTATAAATGTTGTCTCGTGGGCGGACATTTCAACGACTAATTTAATAAAATGATTATAAAAATTAAAATATTTCATTTGATTAACTAAATAAATGTATATCACAGTACTTACCAATTATTTAATTTGAAGAAAACTAATGTAATAAACACAATAACCTGCGACTTCAATTTTGACCCAAAAAAGGTTAATTATAAAAATAAGAATAATTAATAACGCACAATAATTATTTAATCCGATAATTTGTATGTTTAAATCAGTGAAATAATTTAACAAAATATTATATACCTATAAACTTATCAAAAATCAAAGGTACATCAACATTTTCTAATCGACTTCAAGAAAATCATTTTGATCTGTCAAAAGATTTATCCCAAGACATTCTTGATTGCTTTAATAACTTTTATTAATGCAATGGTCTGCATAAATCTCTAATTTCAAAAAAAATTGCTTGGCAAACTTGTAATATTTTTCAACAATATTCTACCGAATACAGTATAATCAGACCATGATAAAACTGAAATAAAATAGAGGGTTTCATTAAATGTTATTTGCCAGCGAAAACACCTTGTATACCCAAAAATAGTTTTTTAAATCTATATAAACTGTGTCTATAACACAAATTGAGATAAAGTGTTTGCAAATCGCTATGGTAATGTATGGCTTTATTGTCGGTTGGCCATAAAAGTTATTGAACACTGATATGAACCCATAATATATCTTTGATATTGAAGTGTTAATAATATTTTTTTATATAATATTATAATCCGTGGAACACCTGTAATGCAGAATTTCAAATACAATTCCAATATATAGGAAATCTAAATAAATCGTCGAAACAGAGTATTCGTAAATTTGCAATGGATCCAGAAATATCTTTTCGTTATTATTCCCAGGCAAAATATCCCTGGATGTGTGAATGGAATGCATACAAAGAACTTCAAATATATGGATCTTTTGATTCATTTTTCATAGCATATTAATAATGAACAGTGCAATATATGTCGTGTTTATGACAAGAGAAGTGCATATTTTTGCATTGAACTTGTCGTTTTCAAACATGAATCATATACGGTTCGACACTTTGATAATGAAGCGCGTTTTTTTGCGCTTCTTTTTTTTTTTCGTTCGTGTTGCGACATGTGCTCCATTTTTATCACCATCGACTATAGTAATGCGTTTACATATGTATGTACATGTATTTTGTATATTTATTTTAGATGTATGACGATTTATGCGCACGTTTGTGATACGGCATGAGTGCATAGACAAACAGTGTCGACTACATCTTTGCAATCCTGGGGAAAAAATGCTGAAAATCACGGCAATTCATTCGGTATCACGCTTTCCATTAATTTTCGCTTATGGATGTATGAATAAAAATTTCACGTGTGTCCGGTTCCTCTTTTTTTGTTTCTAGAAAAAAGTATATGGAATATTCAATACAGGTACAGTGGTGTTTTATAAATAAACGAAGAAAAAAAAACAATTGCAGTTAGCTGTGATATCTAAATGTTTTGAGTTGGAACCCTAGCCACTATCATAGAATGACATTTTAACCTTGAAATTGAGACTAAAGGTATGAATCGAATTTGTTTAAAACTTACAATGAATTGTATTCAACACAGAGCAAAAATAATCCATTAAAAAGTTTAGAAATATAATAAATTGTTGATTTCATTTAATAAAGAGGTGGTGGATACTTTTACTGAGGATTTAATGTCAATAATGCCGGTAAACTTAAAATTGAAAAATTTGGCTGATTATTTGGGTTACTTTGACGTATTTAACTTACGAGACCCAATAATTATAGCAGGGACAAAAGTTGGAAAGGCTTTTGGTAGGGAAGAGAGGTGGTTCACTTCAAACCATCTAGAGCTAGAAATTATTATTTTAGCAAGTAATAACATCCTAAATCATAATTTTAACAGCTATTCACAATTTATTAAGCTATTTACACGAAATTGTGGTTAGCATTTATAAAATAATTTTGTACGCCAATGTCTGATATTCACTTCGGTTAGCTCCGCGGCGAAACTGTTAAATACTGTAAAAAGCTTTTTCAACTTCTGTCCCTGTTATATTCTACTCTATATAAAAAGTATTGTGAAATACATCATTCAAATATTCACAAATTTCTAGAATGTTTGATGAAATGTAAACATTCATATGCAAAAATTAGTAGTTCTCTAAGGTAAGAAAAATATATTATCCGAAAAAAGCAGTGGTAAAACAAAATTCTAATTAGCAATTTTTAACAAATCTATGAAAATCTGCTATACATAATGAGAAGAACAATGGTCCTAGAATAGATCCTTGCGGAACGCCTTGCGTAACAAGTAAACTGCTGAGGAGCTTCTAAAACTATTTTATACGTACGATTGCTAAGATATTTTGATAATAAGCAACTAGAATTCCAAGTAGAACAAAAACAGAACTCATGGGCTATTGGAAACTAAATCTTAATATGTACAGAATCTTCAATTATAATAATAATATAATAATACATATAAAATTATACAACAAAATAAAATAAAAGCTAATCAATAAACTACAAAATCCTGCAAAGTCGCAACTTGTTGCAGGCAAAAAATATAATAAAAACTATGTAATAATAATTAATATAAAACAATGTCTATAGTGAAACATTAATTTTTTAGATACAGACAGACTAGACAGTAGAAAATATTTAAATTGAAACAAAATAAAATATAATTATAAAATAAAATCCCTAAATTTCAATGAAGTTTGCAATAAACATTCTGCCAAGTTTAAGTATATATAATGTTAAATTTTTTTTTTTAAAGCCAATAGACTTGTGTTATGTTTTGACGAAGTGTATTGAATATTTTTGGAGCCAAGTACATGTAGGACCCAAAGGCGGCTCGAAGACGAATTTTCGGGAAGGGGGGGGGGGGGGGGGGGGGCGAGGGGGGCTTTGCCTTTTGCCATTCCCTTTTTAGCATATTTTTTTGAATAAAAGGCCCATAAATCGGAAGACTTTTTATCTCGGGGGGGACATGGCTCCTATGCCCCCTCCCCCCCCTGGAGCCGCCCTTGATACGACCGCTGTCCTATAGATTTCTGCATAAATGGTACAGCATGAAACTGTTTGCAACGTGTCTCATAACGGTGAGTATTTAGGTTGTATTGATTTTTGACAGAATATTCATAAAAGAAGGGAATCTGTAGTAAGCTGTTATATTTATAGTATTTTTATTGTTTAGCTGTACAATTAATTCAAGACACCAAGTTTGTAAACAGAAAAAGTATATTTATAAGACGACTTAATAAAAATTTTGATTAAAGCTACTTTTGTTGTATATATCCCGCTAATTGATAGAAATCAATATTATCGATTAGCCTTGTCTCCGTAAAAACAATGCAGTACAACATAAAAACTGTTAAGAAAAAATTTATATTCATCTAAGGTTTTAGAGAGGCTAGGAATGTTGTTATGCAATAACTTAAAATTGGGATTACTTTGATTAATGCTTAAAACATTTTTATATTCATTATCATCATCTATCTGAAATTGTTTTATATAGGAATCCATTATAAAAACTTATAAATCTAAAATTACTTATACTAGGTACATTAAAATTAATTAAAATATTATAATTTATTAAAATTGGCAATTAATCTAATTATAATCAAAGATAAAATAAAATAAAAACAGTACGTTTAAAGTTGGCATTAGAAGTTGTATTTTATTTAAGAGTGCCAGCTGATGCACTACCTAATCTTTTTGAACGTTTTTTAACTGTTAGGGGGTTTTCTATATTTGATTGTATCTTCGTTTTTTTATCACATTTTATTTTTAATAAGCTAGACATATCTTCTTCCTCTCCGTCTTAAGGCTCTTCATGAGAACATTGCGATTCTTCCGGTTTCTGACATGGATTGGTTAGAGTAATATTATATTGTTTCCTTAAATTATTGAATATGTCAAAATTTACCAGGTCTCTTAAATTGTAAGGTTTACTTTCGATATAAAGAGTACCTCCTTTCAGATGGGCTTTCTGATTGTGTTTTCCAGCTTCCTTCAGATAGGGGACCAGTCTTTTTTGCTCTTCTCTTTCTTCAAGAGTTAAGACTTCAGAAATTCTTAGGTTCGTGCCCTTTAAATTGTGACAATTTCTAAGTATATCCAGTTCTGTTAGATAGCTTACTGCCTGCAGAATGATGGGTTTATTCTACAAATTTTTTCCTATAGTATATATATATATATATATATATATATATATATATATATATATATATATACATGTAATCCACCATAGCGAAGCCCGAAAGTGCATATTTCGCGGTTTATAAGAAGCCCGCTGCAGTTTACCGAAGCCCAAAACGGGCTTCCTAATTTTTACAGTGTATATTCTAAAATTTTGGCAGAAGGTGCCATCTGTTTTCGGAATAAAAACTAGTACAGTTTATACAGTTGCCAATCTTATGAAAACTGGCGTTACATTTCAATTTTTCCCCACAGATGTCGTAAAAATGTACTATTTCTAAAATGTTAGTAGGCTTCTTAAGCTTGCAATATGTCTGCATATATACACTAGTTAGTTCATGCAAATCAACTGTAGAGGGCTTGTATATATACGTACGATCCTCAGGGGTCAATTCTACAGTACCGATTATATGAAGCCTTACGATTTGGCAGCATTGGAGCTGAGTGATATAATCGCTGATACTATGAAATGGTCTATTAATGAAATCGAGTGCTGCTTAGAATAGATTAACGATTT